AAAGTATTTAAATATAAAGGGCCCATTCTATGGTAAAGAAAACTACAATTCGTTCAATTCAGATGAAGCACACCAGTGAAAACATCACTAGGATAATTTTATATTTAATTTCTCCCAAGAATCCCTTTCACCTAACTCTTACACACTGAGCCTTGAATGTACCATGAGAAACAATGTTTATAATGTATATAAATATTGTCCTAATAAGGAGACAAAATTATGTGGAAATGACAGAAAGATAAAACATTTTGACATGTTTTAGTGATATCATAGGACACAACCACTTCTGTGTTATTGATGAGAGAGTGAATCTGAACCACAAACAAATGGCTGAAACAAGCTCTGAGCTTTTCACAGTTATCGGCCCATGGAGACCATGGCATGTGTGTTCAAAATAGGCTTAAAAGAAGAGGGATCTCGCCTGTGAAAGACAAAGAGGTAAAGAGAAAAAGTGGTTTTACTCACAAGCCCTTGAACTTGACATAGAACTCCTCCACCTCCACTTCCTCCTCCCCCTCCTCCAGCTGGGAAGAAAAAAAGGGTTAATAATAATAACTGCAAATATAGCAACTACATAGTGCAAGAGCAGAAGTGGCTCATCATTGTTATACAGTATGTGGTTGAATTGGTTAAGTGGTGCTGGGTACCAGTCTCCCACAAGCATGTCAGTCATCCCTGAATCTAAAGCCCTTTTCTACAGAAACCCAACTATGTTGCGATAATGACGCCTTGTTATGCCGCCTTTGTTTGTTTATACTGAACCAAACAAACCGGCATATTGCCACCCCAGTGTGTGATGTGTCACATTGTTGGCCTCCTGTCCAGCCATGCCGGCTCTCTTTCACCCAGACATTGATTCTGCTCTCTGACTACGACTGCTACCATCTTAAATGTAGATTCAAAAAGCCTCCCATTGTGTGTTTATATCTTTTGTACAGAATGGAAAGGTGGAATAAAGGTGCCATATTCCTCCCTTGAACAGGCTGAGTAAAGGGCTTGAATTTGCTATATGTTCTCTCACTGAGGGAAAATATATAGTTAAATTTGTATCATCTTCATCAGTATGGTAAATATTTACCGTTTTACATAAAACAAAAGAGCAGACGCAGATGATTCTTTTTTAAAGAATTGGATTATATGGAAAATGAATAAACATCTAATAACACTTAAGCAGCTCTTTGCATGACCACTATATTTGTTATTTCTATACATAACAATGTGTGTGAGAAAGGGGAAAAACCTAAACAGTAGCTCTTATAGTGCAGCCTTTCACTTTCATTCACGATCACTACTGTAATACACACATACACACACACACATCAAGCTACTACTACTGTAATGCCATGAATCATCAATCACACACACCCACACCCCCTGCCTGAGGAAATGCTAGCTTGGTGTCTGGTCTAGCTAGCGTTGTGGTTTTGGCTGTTTGCCAAACCCAGGGTCAACTCTGAATGGAGCTGTGAGAATGTGTGTGTATCTGTTTATGTGTAAAGGGGGGGCGGGCTTAAACCCATTGGCAGCTGGCTAGCAAAGGAAAGTTGGCCGGTGACTGTATGTGCACGCATGTGTTGGCTCAGGGATGAGCTTTCTTTAGACAAGCCATCTAAAACAAAGCTGGGTATTCACACACACACACACACACACTCACACACTCTTTGAGCTCCAAACACTGAAATACAAGAACTCTTGTCTCTGCTTACCGAGTGAATGATGTCTGAGATGTGCGCGTGCGTGTCTTCGTATGCGTGTATGTGTGTGAGTAATCTGCTTAGGCCAGCTGTGGAGCGGCTAATCAGATGATGTAAGCCATGACTCCGGCCAGGATGTCAATGCGAGCATGTCTCTATGTATTGTGTTGTATTGTGTGACTCTCCCTCAGTGTATCTCACCTGTTTTTTGGAGGTGCGCAAGCCCATGATCTTCTCCACAATGGGCCCCTCAGCTTCAGCCACATCCTGGAATCACACCAATGACAAAAGTGTTGACCAGAATAACCACTTACTTTAAAAAAATACCGAGGCAGTAACAGATACAGGACAATAAAACGACAATATCTCAACCACAACCTGCTCAGCTCTCTGGTTTATGTTATAAAACTCATTTTCATGTCATTATTAACACGGTAGCAAGTTGAAATTACTAATAATTATTCCAACTAAGGTGAGATCAAGCTATATTTCTGTAAATATTACAAGACAGCTAAATTATAGTCTTTCAAATGCATGTTTCATTTGATTATTTTGGTGATCTTGATAAAGGTTGATAATGATACAGAGACTGCAGACCCTCTGTTCACATCCAAGTCAGTGGAAACATTTTGTTAATCTACTAAATGTGGTTTTGATGAACCATTACACCCCTAATTATTTGACTTTGCAATACCTTTCCCGGTACCGTATGTAGTTTTCTACAAAGCCCCTTTCTCATTTAGTAAAAGACAAAGGTTGTACAGACAACTAGCTGTACAGAAACTGGCAATAAAATATAGTCTTAACCTGAGGTTTTGATTTAACTCACTGTCTAATGAGAGAACATTAAGTCTCAATGTCATGTGATAAAAATCAAGGCAGAAAATTATGAGCTGTTTAAAAGCTTTACAAACTTACAGGATGCAAAGGCAGAAACGTTTTTTTAAATAATGACAAACATGCACTGTACACCATTAACATGTATTGTAATACAGAAAATATTGAGGAAATGTAATTAAATACATTTACGCATTCACTAAAAGTGAGGAATGTATATTGGCAGAGTTTTTAACGCAAATGGTCTGAGATAACAAAGATAAAGCTAAATCAGCTAAATCTTATGGTACATAAAATATCATTAAGCCATATCAACGTCAGATCTATTGTCAGATTCTGTCTGTACACTATAGACTCAAGCTGTACCTGTTGTTGGGATGATGAAGACGGGGATTTTGGTGCTGGTGAGTCATCTCCACTGGCATCGTCCTCTGAAATCCTAAACTCCAGATCTTCAGTGTACCTCTTCCTCTTGACCTGGCGGCTGGAACGACGCTTCTGATGGTCAAAGGAAGAGACACAAAAGTGTTAACGTTCTGTTTCAGTTATGGTTTTATAGCCCTTCAAAAGATTCACAGATCACCTTTGCATTGGATGCTCTTCTCACTTCAGCAAACTTCTTCACAAGGACAGATCTATACATGTGTAAAAATATCATCGTATAACATCTCCCACTATTATATCAGAGATGGATATAAAGACAGACAGATCTGTATCAAACGTTATTATGCAGTTAATAGCCAGGTGATGCTCTGTTTACATGCCCCACTATTACTTTGGCAAATAAACAATGGGTCTGATTGAGAAGTGATACAGCGATGTGATGCTTGTTCCTCCTTTTTGTACCAAAACAACCACTGAAAAATTATAGTTCCACACAGCTGCTTGTTGGCATTTCTTTAAAACTGGAAGGAGAAAATATTTTTGTATGAAATGCCAAATGTTGCCAAAAATTTTATTAAGCACCTGAGAAGTTGTTGCTGATTGACTTGGCTAAGCAGCCTATGTGCTTGGTCTTTCAACATTGCACTTCAACAGTACATGCCTATTGGCCCAGTCCCTTCGATCTCTAAAAGCTGTGACACTCAAGGAAGTGCAAAGGGTTCATGGACTTTATTTTGCACTAAGCCCAGTGTAATTATTATTCTGTAATGCATTATTGGCCATGACTTTGTACAATTTCTGAAGTTGCGTGCTACCTGAAAGTCAAATCTAGCATCAAAAACCAGGGTATGATTCCTTGTATTGGTCTTTTACCTGTACACCGTCATCATCTTCATCTTCAGGAGGTGATGGTGGTGGACTCTTCACCTCCACATCATCGCTGACTGATGACTCTCTCTTCCTCTTGGAATCCTTCTTAGCTGTGCCAGCCCCGACCTCTGACTCCACCTTCTTACTGCTGAAAGAAAAAAAGAGAAAAAAAACTTAAATATTCTTTACAGAAAAGATGCTATCACTTCTACAGACTATACAGCATTTGTGTGTGTGTGTGTGTCTGTGTGTGTGTGTCTGTGTGCGTGCGTTAGTGTGCGTGTGTGCATGTCTGTCCCAGGGTGGTCGCCATGTTTGATTTACCCATTTAGAAATCATTACTATGCCTCAGGCTCTGGCACACAGGGGGTTAATATGATGAAAGACTGCAAGGAGGCGGAGGGAGCAAGGTAGCAAGATAGAGAGATATAGAGAGGAAGAGCGAAGGGGGCCCAGAGGGGAGGAGAGGGAGGAGAGAGAGAGAGAGAGAGAGAGAGAGAGAGAGAGAGAGAGAGAGAGGGAGGAAGCGAATGAGAACCAGAGAGACAGGCAGACAGACAGAGTGAGGGACAGAGAGAGAGGCCCCAGAGAGAGGAGGGGGGAAGGGTTGAGAGGCCCCCAGGCCTCCTCTAATCTCTGGCATGGAAAGAAAGCGGAGCTGGCTCCATCTCCAAGTGTGTGCATACTAAAGCTGTAGTCACCAAAATTGTAACTACTCTTCGACTGGTAGCGATGGAAAAAAAAGAAAAAAAGGGGCACATTTACTAAGTCGGCCACAGTGCTCTCTATGTGGTGGCCTCATTCAAATGACCAGTAGATAAACACCAAAATATTCTGAAAAATATAAGGGAAACCAACTAACTTTACCTCGTCATAGACACGAAATAATATTTAAAGAATTGAGGGTTTGGATTCAACTTTAACTGGTTTGACTTTGACTCTTGAATTTCACTGACATGGATCACAACGTTTATTTCACTGGTTAAGACTTACACTATTGGTTTTGTTGGACTGCACAAACACAAACTAATGATTCCATACATTAGACAACTTTCACTGCTGGGACTCAATGTAATGTAATGTTTCAGCATTGATAAAGGCTCTGTTTTTATTTCACTGTTCTCTGCCCATATGGTTATTTCAGCCCAAAGGTGCCATTGATCCTCCTCTCAGTGTATTATTTTATATCTTATGCTCACAAGACAGTGGGAAAAGATGACATATCTGAAACATCCAATTTGAACATACAGTAAAAACACTACATCAGACCATCAGTACACTATGTTATATTCTGCTGCAGTGAAAGTGGTGATGTTTGCTTTGCTTCATAAATAATCTTGCCTAGCATAAAGGTTTGCTTGCATGGAGCACATTAACCAKATACCACTGAGGTTTTGTTGCAGCCGTTAACTTAACTGCAAAAGTAAAGAGAAATAACAATCAATTTCAACAGGAAGAAAATACTGAGTGATGAGGAGAGATAAATGTTTTTTGACAAGAGTATCTGATCAACCTGAAACCAGATTCTATAACTGAACAAGTGACACAAATCCAACTTTGCTGCTCACTTGACAAAATGTTGCTTTTTAAAAACACAAAACATATAGATTATCTTCTAACTTAAATTAAACTGTTGCGTCTTTAATAGTTTAAGTGTTTGTGCGTGTTGCCTTTACTACAGTCTTACCCTCTGCAGTACTGTATGCCTGCATATCTCTCTCTCCTGCTCTGTGTCTATGTCGCTCATCCTCTCTCCTGCTCTGTGCCTCACTCCCTCTCTCCTCCTCTTGCGCCCCCTCTGTGTCCCTGGGGCCCATCTCCTTTCATCCTCACGCCAAGAGCAATCACGATCTCCGTGGTAACGGCTGGTCATGTGACCTGCACCTGTTCCTCTGGCTGGTCGCCACACGCTGGAGCCATCTGGCTACACACATACATGCTTGCATGCACACACACACACACACACACATACACACTCACACACACACTTCTCCACTTGGCTGCCTTCTGCCCTCTTCTTCCTGGCGTCTTCATGGCCTCACTTCTCTTCTCAGTCACTCTATCTCTCTAACTCTTTGTGCTCAGTCCATCTTCTCACTCTTTTTTCTTCTGCTGTCTCGCCTCTACAACTCTCCTCTCCAACAACCCATCTCTCTTTTTTCTGTCTGCTTTATATCTCCCAATATGCTTTTGCTGTGTGATGAATCAACCTGTTTCACATCAACCTCTGAGGAGCTTGCATTAAAAAAAAACTTGTTATTAACTGGAATTGAAATGCTTCTGAGCTCCATTATAGCACCACTCTGTTGTTTCTGAGTAGATCCTAATTAATACATTTTTTTGCGTTTTAGAGGCACTAAAACTGAGAATTTTCAAAACACTGTTCACTACGTTTTAGTTTGAAAACTCCAGGGCTGCATTTTAGTCTGGACAGTCAACACGGAAATGTTTGGAAACAACTACTTGCTGACTGGGTCTTTTTGGTCATGACGTAACTTTTGCTGATTAGACAGGCTCCCATCACATGACACCCTTCCAGAAAGAAACAAACAGCATCAGCGCCTCAGCTACCAGAGTAGAACACAACATTGCTAATTAATTACAAGCGTTGCTGAACCTGTAGTCTGTGCTAACAGCTGTTGTGCAGTTAAATCCTGCATTTTACCATGATGCAAATGTGTGTGAGAAGTTATTTTAACAATGTGCAACAATCCTGCAACTGACAACCAAATGCATCAAGTGTACATCGACAGGAACATGCCTTCCTGTTTACACCGGTATGTGCAAGTTCAATTGAAATACTTGAAGTTGACCACAGACAGTTTGATTTTAGTTATTAAACATCCTACTTGCTGTGAGTACATATCTTCCTTTCACCATATCTCAGCTAAATGTTGGGTTATGTTGTAAGTTGCTATATCCATTTCTTATTTTCAGGCTACATGATCCAACACCGGCTTCAGTCAGATCCGAGAGAAGTTGGGAGGCTAGTTCTGCTAAATATGTGAATAACTCATAAGGATCTGCTCTGTTACTGACTCATGCTGCTTTTTAGGAAACAAGCCATATGATATGGTCAGCTACATGTGTCAGGCCTGACATTGGCCTAAATAAGCTTGCTAACAAACTTCCTTTCCAATGTGGCTATGTGGCACACCAGTGTTAGTACAACATGCATTCTATATGTACCTTGTGTTACAGTCAGTCAAATAAGCTTTTGAGCTGAAAATATGAAAATATTAACAACTTTTCAAATGTCCTAAGACATCAAAATCACATACAGTAAATAACGATGCTAATATTTAGTTGCAGTCACTTGTATATTGTGCATACCACTGAAGTGTGTTGAGGCTGGATTCACAGAAAATATGCAAAGCAGGATGCAATTAAAAATACAGTGGACTACACTATATTGAACAGAATGCCACTCAGCCACCACCTAAATAAAATATTTTCCTTATCAAAAGGAAAAAACATCTCTAGATCAAGTTCGAGTGCATTTCATCCAGCATTGAACTGAAAAATTGGAAATAGCTCCAGAAAAACACTGACAGAAATCAGGAGCTTGAATGTGAGAAATTGAAATGAAAGTCCAGCATAAGGTGAGGTGATTACACAGATCATCGTATTGATAGGAAAGCTTAATAAAACGTGTTGCCTACAGGTGAAGCATTTAAACTGATGCAACATCAGAAGTCTACTTATCCATCATGGGAGAGAGGATAAATGAAAGACAGGAAGCAGAGCAGTGGAGTAAAATATTGGGAGGGAAAGAGACAAATTAAAGAGGAAGCCAGGAGCAGGGGGAGGGTTGGGTGTAAGGGACACCTGAGGCTGTGATGAGTCATACCACTGAACCCCCATATATATATACACACACACCACAAAAATGACAGTGGCTACAGTGGTCAGAAGGCAAAACATACAGTGCCTTCTATATGTAAACAAAAAGTGCTGTATTTGCACACGTTTGCAGACATCCACAAAGCAAGGTGTCTGTGTGCAAGTCTGACATCTTTATGTGTGCAGCAAACAAATCTCACCCCCATCCACACGCACACACGGGGCAGGGTGTGGCAGCTTAGAGCTGAGTTATTTATAGATGTGCTTCCACTGAGAGAGGTAGACAGAGAGGGAGTGCGAGCAAGGGGAAAGAAGGATGGAGCGAGAAAGCAAGGTCAAAGGAGAGGAGTGAGCTGAAGGGCAGAGTAAACCACCTGATTCCCCCTGAAATGCTCTCATATGCACGTTCTTCAACAACTGACACTAATAGTGGTAAATGCATCAGAGGTGTCCAATTATTGTATCTTTGTTACGATCGAGACAGCGTCACAAACACTTCTTGCCATCGAGGCACATTTTAGTATACAATAACTATGATTTGTATAGCAGTTATCTAAACAAAGTTATAAAGTGCTTCACAAAATCCATGGCAAAAAAATCAAATGAATTAAAATAAAAGGATTTCAATTCAGTTCAATTTTAAGTGCCAAATCACAACATGTTAAGGTCGAGACCTAAAATTGATAGAGAAACCCAACAGTTCCCACAATGAGCAACACTTTGGCGACTGTGAAGCGAAAAGCTCCCTCGTTTACTTGGACAAACCTCTAGAACCAGACTCAGTGTGGGGTTGCCATCTGCCTCGACCGGTTGGGGTGAGAGGAGAAAAATGGGAATGAGGGGAGAGATGGGAGGCAAAGAGCAGAAAGAACTTTGAAAGAAGCTGGAATTAGTGGGACTTATTACCCGTGACAGCAGTAGAACCAGTATCAGTCAATAGTATACATCTATGGATGAATATAAAATAACTACCAATACTGCCTAGTAATGAACAAAATCAGCATGGTGAGCAGCTTGCCCACAGCCAAG